TCCATTGTAAATTTGAGCTAAAGATGCCCATCCCACCTCTGTAACTGGCTGATTATGAGGCTAAATGAAATTATTGATGTGAAAGAGGCTTGTAAACTATAAATTCTACATATATAAACATAAGAAATAGTAACTTAAAACGGCAGACGTGGAGTAGATCCTGTGCTTCATGCTTACAAAACTGGAGTGAGGAAAATCCTGGGGGCCTGGATGCAGACGCTGGGTCCTGGGGGAGATTGTCTAATTCACCGAAAATAGTCAAGTAAAACCAAAGCGTGGACAGAAACCTCTAAGTCGGATTTGGGTGGCTGCAGAGGCTGTGGTTTGAATCTGAATAAAGAGGTTACTGCCCCCAGAAAGAATCAAACCTATTTCCTTTCTGATCAAAGGAATCAAAAAAACTAAAAGCCTGATGTTGAATTTCAGGTAGGGTTAAGTCATTACCAGAAAGGCGGACAGGGAGGCTGAAAGCCTTCATTTCAGCTTCTGAATGGCCACTCACTGAGTGACCCTGGGCAAGAAAGATACTCTCATTAGAATACTACCTCAAGGAAAGATTCCAGTCTGGTAGCAAAAAGTAGGCAGTAATGATTTTTCCCACCCAGGTGTCCCACCACGCTTAAGATCATGAACTGTTTCTAATTACAGGATTCTTTTTTTTTTTTTTTTTTTTGAGGCAGAATTTCGCTCTTGTTACCCAGGCTGGAGTGCAATGGCACGATCTCGGCTCACCACAACCTCCGCCTCCTGGGTTCAAGCGATTCTCCCGCCTCAGTCTCCTGAGTAGCTGGGACTACAGGTGCGCACCACCATGTCCAGCTAATTTTTGTATTTTTAGTAGACACGGGGTTTCACCATGTTGACCAGGATGGTCTCGATCTCTTGACCTAGTGATCCACCCGCCTTGCCCTCCCAAAGTGCTGGGATTACAGGCGTGAGCCACTGCGCCCGGCTTATTACAGGATTCTTAAAGTCTGGGAAGTGTCAGACTTTATGGCTTAATTAAGGCCTGGATTGGCTTTTCAGCATTAATCTATGGCTCAGGCTACAAACATTTGCACCTAAAATCTTGATAGGTAGTTGGGGCATGGTGGTTCACACCTGTAATCCAAGCTCTCTGAGAGGCCAAGGCACATGGATCATCTGAGGTCAGGAGTTTGAGAGCAGCCTGGCCAACATAGTGAAACCCTGTCTCTACTAAAGATACAAAAAATAGCCAGGTGTGGTGGTGGATGTCTGTAATTCCAGCTACTCAGGAGGCTGAGGCAAAATAATCTCTTGAACCCGGGAGGCGGAGGTTTCAGTGAGCCAAGATTGCGCCAGCCATTGCTTTCCAGCCTGAGCAACAGGAGTGAAACTTTGTCTCAAAAAAAAAAAAAGCTAAAATTTGGTCAAATTGTATTTCCTGTCTTCAGTGGGAATTCCTTGTCCTGACAAATTACATATATGTATATATAATTTGCATAATCTATATAATTTGGACAAGGAGAGGTGGGATCTGACAGTTCTCAGCACAGTAGACCTCCAAGGTCAAAAATCTAAATCCAAGGAGTATGTGTTGAAGAATGGAAAGAATGTAGCTGTCTGAGATTCACATGGGGAGTGATGGGAGTCAAGAATAGGAGGAGGCTAAGAGCGCATCAGGAGAGCTTCAAGGCTCTGGGCCTCAGGGCTACTAAGAGGGGTGCTGGCCACTTTCACAATAGCAAAGACATGTCATTGACCTACATGCCCATCAACAATAGACCTTGCAGGAGATTCTGGATCTGATGCTCTAATAAACCGGTTAGCATCACTGGCTCTTTATAGGGGGAGAGCTATCATCAGACAGGTGGTTAGAGTTTCCAGTGGCAGGAGGGTAAAGGAAAAAAGGATGGAAATGAAGAGGCTGGAAGAGAGAAGACAGGTAGGAGAGGATTTCAGCATTCCAGAAAAGGGATTTGCTATGTGGCTCTGGCCGGAGGTGAAGAGGAGGCAGCTGCTAAGTGAGGCAGTCGGTGGGTGAAGACAAGAGGTGCCCTCCATGGGCCTCCTGCTGAGCATGAGCTCCCTGGACAGAATTCTTGCCTCCAGGGAAACTGAAACGATGGAACGAGGGCTTGGGAAGGCCATTTGATCTGACCATTGAGGCCCAGCTTATGACGAAAGTTTCTCTTCTGCTCTAGAAATTAGTTATTGTGTGACAAGCAAAGAGGAAATAGCTGGAAAGTAAGGAATTTATAAGAGCAAGGGAGGGGCAGCTGTCACTGAACACAGGCTTTGGGAAAGTCAGGTTTTCTATCTGAGCACCAGCTTATTCATCTGTTGAATTAACACGGGGTGCTTTTCTTGGGCTGGGTCCAGTGCTGAGTTTAAACTAATCTCTTTTTTTTCCCTAAAAGTAGCCCTATAAGTTCATATTAGTCGACCAGTTTTGCAGATGAGGGCCAGAGGGACAGAGAGCAGCTTGCCCAAAGTCACATAACTTGGGAAGGATTGAGGCTTGATATTTTAATGTCCACGGTTCTTTAAACTGTGATAGAGGGGAGGAGGGCAGGAGAGTCAGCCTCTGGGGCCGGGAGGTGCCACAAAGCAGGAAACCTGAAGGGCTTTGGGTGTTTTGCGGCTGGGTCAGGCAGTCCATGGCTTCCTCCCTCAGATTAGAGGTCTCTAAGAAGAGATTAGACATCTGAAATAATAAAAAGCTTCTGTTTTCCGGGAGAGCTCATGAATGCCCAGACTCCCCCAGACTGGCGGAGAATTAAACCCAGTGAGACTTCAAGAATTAAACCCAAATCAAGACTTCAAAGAAGTGGAGGCAGGATTTTGTGTGAACCTGGAGGAGGCAGGGTTGGTGGAGGGGGCTGGTCGAAAACGAACTTAGAACTGGAGAGGAAGGAAGAATTTATCATTTCCTAGACATGGAAGTTCAGCAAAGCTGGGCTGTCAGTGCCGTTCCTGTGGGAGGAGGAGAGATGTGTGCGGACAGCGGAGACAGGAAACAGCCCTGAGCCTCTTCACTAATCCACAGATTTTTCAGCATCTCTATCTCATTAGAACCCACTTAGTTGCTGAATTCACTCCTTTCTTGCAGTTTCAAAGCATTAGAAACAGCCACACACCAACACTTTCCAGTCTCTCATATCTGTTCTTTGCCAGTCCTCCTCTCTAGGAGGTAGGAAAATGGCAGTGTATTGGGCACAAAAAGATTTTAAATGTATATGAGAGGATCCCTGTACAGCCTAATGATGGTAAATGGCATAAATTTAAGAGTTTGACTCAGTCCTTTGAAACTAAGGTCCAAATGGGGAAAAGATGAGTAATTTTTAAAATTTTAAGGAGCTAATAATGTAATGAGGAATATGTAAGTTCTTTAGGAATACAAATAATATGCATATTAAACATATTAAATATACTCAGTGAGGGGAAGGAGAATGGCGTTTGGGAATTAAAGGATATAAATAATAAATAAAACAAGAGAGGGGGCTTACAAGGACAAATGGTTGTGAACTTAGGAGCATGTTAATTAAACATGAGTTCTGGGAGTCCAGAAATAAATAACTCCATGTGGGAGACAAAAGGGAAGACTGTCTTGGTGCATCTCCTGTGAAATCAGCAGGGATTCACGATGTTATTTATGTGAGAAACCCAGCAATTCCTGGGGCCCCAGGCCAGCATCCATCAATTCATATATTCTAAAATTTTAGCCAAGACTACTCAGCGGCTGTCAGACAGTGTCCCTGAAAGAATGGGTGCCTGTGTGCCAGTTGAAAGGCAAAGCTACACGTTCTTGGAGGAACGTGTGTCTCATTTCCATGGTTCTTTTTGGGCCCTGGACTTCCAGGCTATTGAGAGGAGTGCTTGCCACTTCACAATAGCAAAGACATGGAATCAACCTAAATGCCCATCAATAATAGACTGGATAAAGAAAATGTGATACATATGCACCATGGAATACTATGCAGCCGTGAAAAACAGATTACGTTTTTTGCAGGGATATGGATGGAGCTGGGGGGCATTATCATCAGCAAGCTAATGCAGGAACAGAAAACCAAATACCACATGTTCTCACTTGTAAGTGAGAGATAAATGATGAAAACACATGGACACATAGAGGGGAACGACACACACTAGGGCTTGTTAGAGAGTGGAGAGCGGGAGGAGCGAGACGAGCAGGAAAAATAACTAGTGGGTACTAGGCTCAATACCTCGGTGTTGAAATAGTTTGTATAACTAGCCCCCATGACACAGGTTTGAGTACATAACAAACCTGAACTTAAAAGTTAAAAACATAGAAAAAAAGAGAAATGCTTGCAATTTTTATAAACATCTAATTATTTTTGAAAAGATATTTACTTTTTAAAAGCACTGCATTCGGAATGTCAGATTATTGTCCGGAAAGCTGGCAACAACAATATTCCCCATTCCCCCAGCCTCTCGTAAGAGCCTCCTATACCAGACTGAGCCCAGGCTGGGAACCACCAATCCTTTAACTTCTGCCAATCTGATGAACGCAGAATGTGTATTTTCTCATTTATACATCTTTGATTATTGGTGAGAGAGAACATTGTATCCTATTACAGATGCCAGTTGATTTCCTGTTTTTTCTTACTGGTATACAATGCTTCAGGCCCGTTTTTTTCTTACTGGTATAGAAGCACTTGAAAGCATTTCTAAGCCTTTGTATTAATCTGCTGTCCTTTGCAGACATTGTGACTATTTCTCTTCCTCAGGCCACTTTCCTCCCAGCTCTTTTTGAGAGATCCTAGATAGCCGGCATATCTTTTGGCTCTTTTTTAAGCTCAAATAATATTAGAAGTAACATTTGGAATGTCTACACCAACCCTTTTGCAGTGACTTTACTGCAGTATCTGGAAGGCTGTGTCAGCATCTATACACTTTCATCCCTTGAGGAAAAGCAGACTGTAGTCTTCAAGGACCTCAGAGGGGTTGCCATCACCCATTTATAATTTTCCCAGAACTTATGAGTCGCAAATCCTCGTTGCACTGGTGAGCACTGAGTGCTCACAGAGCGTGTGTGGGAGAGGATGTGGTTTGCATTCTGCGGTCCTCATGCCCACCTCATGCATCAGGAATCCTTGCAGCCCTGTGATTGGCCTGTGCGGGCTTGGGCTAAGTCCCTGCCAAAATACCAAAAGACTGCAGAGGTGGGCAAGGACCTCAGCAGCCCCCAGACTAGCAAGCTACAAGCACTAGTCATGACTGTACAGTTAAGGGCCGTCCGTCTGCTCCCCGTTCTCCTAGCCTGCTTCGTGCAAGCAAGTCCCAAGCAGGAGAAGATGAAGGTGAGTGTGCTTCAGAGAGGCGCGGTAGTCACTCTTCCGTCCTGCTTCTAGATCCTGCGCCCCAGTCCTTCTTGTAAGACTCAGACTCCGGCTGTCGTCTTCTTTGCCAGTTCCCCTAAACCTTGCTTTTTCCCTCCTTGGATTTTCTTCACGCCTATGGATGGGTGTTCCTTGAGCTGAATATGACTAGGGAAGAAAGGGTGTCCATGCTGTAGCCATTTCTACCCCCTGGAGACCTCTCCAGCCACATCACTTCAGAGCTGGGGCTGAGGCTGGGACAGCAATGGGCCTTAGAGTAGGTGGGGACTGGGGTTTAGAGGAGAGGCTGAGTGGTCTCGTCTCAGACACAACTCCGAAGAACCCCTTGAAGAGTAGGAAAAAGTGAATGTGGTAGTTTTAAGGATGGATAAAGTCAGAGTTATGAGAGAAACATAAAACATGGAAAAAGAAAAAGCAGAGCCCTACGATTTAGAGTCAGGCATCTTGGATTCTGGCCTCGGTTCTCTGTCCAATTCATGGCTCATGACCTTATTGATAAGACACGTGTGTCTGGTGGCAGAAGCGGCAGTTCGGGAAAGGAGTAGGCAAAAAATGATCATGAAGTAAATGGGCTTTAGACAAGTTGACCCCTGTTTTCTCATTGTAAAACTGTAGGTAGCAGCAACTACCTTATGGGTGGGTGGACAACAGTTGTTATGCGTGTGATACATTCTACAAAACCAGCTCTAATTAGATCTCTCCACCCCTCGCCTCTAAAACTAACTAGACAACTTCCTGGCCGAACCTCTATTTTGAGAACTGATGTGGTTTTTATGTTACCTGTGGTGCTTAATTGAGTGTGGAGACTCTGGGCTGCAGAGTTTGCTTAATAAAAACCGCATCTAGAGATAATGGATACACGTTATATGGACTTCAGTAAATCTGAAACAGTGGTCAATATCAGAATTAAACTGGACTAAAAGGAGTCTTCACATTAAGAGTCTCTCTAAGCTCTTGTGTCCTGCTACCCAACATGACTGTGAGTGATTGCCACTGCAGTAGCAAAAGAAAAAAAGGGCAAATTCTCGCAAATGTTTAACTTGAAACTAGGCAACATGGAGATAGGAACGAATGCTTTTACACCGTATCTTCTTTATAGATGCCTCAGTTTTGATGGTGCATGTGTGCATGTGTAAACTTAGGGAAAGGTGTAGAAACCTGCATGGAAAGATATCTTTTTCCCCAAGTACTCTTGTACTCTTGTACTCTTGTACCAAGAAGTGAGTAGCTACAACCTAGTATGCTAGTGATAGAATCAGTGGGCTTACAGGACTGGACAAAAGTTGCGTTTTGTTTCGTTTTGTTTTCTATTACTCCTTCTCTGAATGGGGGCAGATGGTGTTCAAACAAAGTCCTTACTAGACTGATGCATTTCCAGGAAGCCTGGTTTAATCCTAGTTTAAGTCTGGACATTCCGTATCAGATAATGTCCTTCTGTCTTTTCTCCAGCCAGTTCCTTTCCACCTTTTTCTCTCTGGATGGTTTGGACACATAGCTCCCTTTTCACATTCCTGTTGTATATATTCTGTATTCCATGAGCAATCTGTGGCAGCTTCTGAGTGTAAGAAAAGGGATCGGCATGTGCTGGTGAGCACTGTGGCCTCAGTACACTACACTGCACGAACCACCCTGTAAGGGTCTAGAGACAGGAGGCAGAGGATGAGACCTGCCTTGTGGAGGAATTTAATAAAAGCACATGCAACGAGAACTTCAGGCAGGACTAATTTCTGTCATGTGGAACTTAACAAATGTGTGGACGTCTGCTGTTAATATGTTTGCGATATTTGAGAAGGAATGGGATAGGTGGAATGGAGCATGAAGGTGGATGTTAGACACCTAGAGCACAATGGGCTGAGGAGCCGGTGCCTGGCAGGTTGGATGCTGCCCGACAGATTTCAGGGACTCACTTGCAGATGGACCTTAGGGTTGTCCGTCTCCTTTCTTGAGAGCTGCCAAAAGCTGGGATTTCACAGTATTGGCTTATACAACCACCATATTGGTACGTGAGTGACAGGAGAAAGTGATTCAGGGTGGGGGTAATATTAGATTCTAGAATGTTAAACACGGAAGCCCCTTGAAGTTCTAGCAAGAATCTAGATAAATATCTCCATTTTACTCAAGAGGAAACTGAGGGCCAGGTATGGGAATTGCCCAGGTTTACCAAGGAATTTAGCAATGGAGCTGGCCTCTGATTGCCAGGGCAGTGTTCTTTCTACCTTACTTGCTGATAAGTGGAGTAAGAAGTCAGAAGACCTGGGGAAAGAGAAGCAACTAAGGTCTCCTAAGAAAGGTCAGCAATTGAAACCCGCCCTTCTCACAGCGTCCAGGCAGGAGGCCTTCTATCCAAAGCCAAGGAGTAGCCTCTTTCTCACAGAAGCATGAAAGGCAAGTGTGCTTTTCGCTTCGGCCCCACTTCCTTCCAGCTCCTACCATCTCAGCTGATGAATCAACACTCTTTTCTGTTATCTGTGCATTTCCTGGCATCTCATATCTTTCAAAATAGACCTGCCGGGTGTGGTGGCTCATACCTGTAATCCCAGCACTCTGGGAGGCCGAGGTGGGTGGATCATGAAGTCAGGAGTTCAAGACCAGTCCAGCCAACACAGTGAAACCGTCTTACTAAAAGTACAAAAAGTTAGCCAGATGTGGTGGTGTGCACCTGTAATCCCAGCAACTGGGGAGGCTGAGGCAGGAGAATCGCATGAACCCAGGAGGTGGAGGTTGCAGTGAGCCGAGATCACGCCATTGCACTCCAGCCCAGGCAACAGTGCGAGACTCTGTCTCAAAAAAAAAAAGGGGACTTGATTCTTATGTGTGTGTGGAGGGGGTGGGGAAGGAGAGGTGCATAGTAAGTGTATATATGTATAGGGTGCAGGAAATGTTTTGATACAGACATGGAATGTGTAATAATTACTTCATGGAAAATGGGGTATCCATCCCCTCAAGCATTTAGCCTTTTTTCTACAAAAGATCCCATTATACACGTTTAGTTATTTTTAAATGTTCTCCCTGTTGTGGCGTCAAATACTAGGTCTTATTCACCCGTTCTAACTCTCTCTCTGCACCCATTCATCATCCCAACCTCCCTCTCATTCTCCTAGTATCTCTCCCAGACTCTGGTAACCATCCTTCTACTCTCTGTCTCCATGAGTTCAATTGGTTAGATTTTTGGATCCCACAAATAAGTGAGAACATGCTATGCTTGTCTTTCTCTGTCTGGCTTGTGAGACTTGGATTGTTATTTCCAAGTTACAAGAACCAAGTTTCAGTCTTATCACTAACACTTTAGACAACGCTTATCTGTTTTCTAGGTCTTGGTTAGAACGTTTGACTTCTTTGAAAGGTGCTAAGAATTCTTGTTACTAATATTATCACTTTAAACAAAATCTTCCAGATGGATTGTCACCGAGATCAAAAAGACACCATCTATGACTATGAGGCCATCATGCTTAATGAGAAGGAATACGTCCCCTTCAAGCGCTATGTGGGCAAGCACGTCCTCTTTGTCAACGTGGCCACCTACTGTGGTCTGACAGCGCAATATCCTGGTAAGAATTCACAGCTACATCTCTTTAGGACTAAATTTTCCAGGTGGTTATATTCTAAATTATACTTGTAACTATATTTTAATTCTAATTGTGTACCAAAAATAAATACTCATAATCATGTGACTTCATCCCCATGTCAGAAGCCAGCAAGCTCTGGCGGACAGACCAAATGTGGTCAGCCTGGTTTTGTTAGCAAAGCTTTATTGGAATGCAGCCATCCCTGTTCATTTACACATCACGTATGGCTGCCTTCATGCTGTGAAGTAGAGGTTAGTAGTTGTAAGAGTAATGGTGACAGAAACCACACGGCCCACCAAGTCTGAAATAGTTGCTGTCTGGCCCTTTACAGAAAAAACATGCCAACCCCTTCCCCATGCTCTGCCTCTGCTTTTCCCTGAGATTTCCAGGGGAATCAATATATACCTGAGAACTAGGAGCCTCTCAGATGATTGCAGAAGTCTTCTTGATAAATACAGGACAGAGGATCCATGTTTTTGAGACTTTTCCACAGCTTTACAGGTACCTTGCAGTGACAGGGAGGAGTTTTATACCTGGGAATGCACTGGACTAGCATGAGGGCTGGCGGGTGAGGCTGTAACAGGAGCAAACACTCCCTCCCCAACCTCAACCCCCTTTTAGGATGTACTTTTTCCTCCCTTTTTGCGCAGTATTCAGGGAAGAATCTTATCATTCTCATATTTTAGGGCATGTGGTTTAAAAATCAGCAAATAATGATCAAGATTGATTATACCAAAGACAAATATACTTCTTATATTTGAAATAATAGGACCTCCTTTTTTTGTTTTTAATTATGTTTTGAATAGGTATTATGTTCACAAGTCTCAAACTTCAAAAGAAAAAAAATTAGAACTAAAGGTTTCCACCTTCTTCCCCTCCCTTTGGTAGACCAATATTATCATGTTTACAGAATACATGATAGATTCTTTTTTCTCCTTCCCCCTCCCCGGCTGATAACACACGATAAATACTATTTGCTGCCTTGACTTTTTAATTAACAAAATGCATTTGGGTTCAGATCATTTCCACATTATATTTTAAGACTGAACAGTATTTATTGGACCATAATTTATTTTCCCAGTGTATAGGGACTTTAAGAGTCGATTTATTCAGTTTCCACTCTGCAACTAACAGATAACGGACGAATACAGGGAGAGGTACTGAGGAACCCTGTGAAAACAGAAAGGCAATCTCTGTTTAAACAAGGTCTAGAGGAGGCACCAGTTGGCCGAGCTGAGTCTCAGGGGGACTGGTTAGCGTTTGTCCAGGGACTAAAGGCATCTGGCTTAGAAAGGGTTAACAAAGAAGATGATTATGAGTCTGAGCAGACAAGTTGGAAAACTTCCTGGTGGTGGAAGAAGGCGGCTCAAGTTTGTGCTTCCACAAACCACCGAGGATTTTAGGAAGAATGCATCTTCAGCATCTTGAGGATTGCTGAAAAATGTTAGGATGCTTGACTTCAAATGTCTCTGATTCTCTGCCTTTATCGGTTTTACTTCCACTCCACTCAGGGTGAGCCGGACTGCACAGAGGACAGAAGCTCAGTCCTCATTGTCTGTGTCTTTTCCCTTAAAAAAGAAAGCTTCAGGCTATCAGTTAGCCAACCGGGGAAGGCAAAATAATGAGTAGTGTATTATTCACTTAAAAATCACCTGTTGAGCTTTTGAATAGTAAAGATGACCAAGTCCCATTTCAGAGGAACAGAAAACTGGGACCTGAGCATCCCTATTTTTAGGGAAGGGCCTTCAGCCGATTCTGTGATGCACGTATGGGAAACACTGCAGCATAACCAGGGCTTCTGCGCGCACAAGGGAAGATCTGGACTGGAACTTCAGCTCTGCCACTAATCGCCCTGCTGATCTATAGCTGTTTCTCTCCCTGGGCCTCTGTTTCCTTCTCTGAAAAATGGGTAACCCCAGGGAAAGATCCCTGCACACGGCAGAATGTCCACCCAGACCAATATGCTGTCGCTCCTCTAACCGCAGAACTGAATGCACTCCAGGAGGAGCTGAAGCCCTTTGGTCTAGTTGTGTTGGGCTTTCCCTGCAACCAATTTGGAAAGCAAGAACCAGGAGATAACAAAGAGATTCTTCCTGGGCTCAAGTAGGTGCCTGCTTGAAATCCAACAGGAGGTGCCCGTGTGCCTTTCCGCAGTCTCCAGAGGCCCTTCTAGCCTTGAAATCCAACAGGAGGTGCCCGTGTGCCTTTCCGCAGCCTCCAGAGGACCTTCTAGCCTTGAAATCCAACAGGAGGTGCCCGTGTGCCTTTCCGCAGCCTCCAGAGGCCCTTCTAGCCTTGAAATCCAACAGGAGGTGCCCGTGTGCCTTTCCGCAGTCTCCAGAGGCCCTTCTAGCCTTGAAATCCAACAGGAGGTGCCCGTGTGCCTTTCCGCAGCCTCCAGAGGACCTTCTAGCCTTGAAATCCAACAGGAGGTGCCCGTGTGCCTTTCCGCAGTCTCCAGAGGCCCTTCTAGCCTTGAAATCCAACAGGAGGTGCCCGTGTGCCTTTCCGCAGTCTCCAGAGGCCCTTCTAGCCTTGAAATCCAACAGGAGGTGCCCGTGTGCCTTTCCGCAGCCTCCAGAGGCCCTTCTAGCCTTGAAATCCAACAGGAGGTGCCCGTGTGCCTTTCCGCAGCCTCCAGAGGCCCTTCTAGCCTTGAAATCCAACAGGAGGTGCCCGTGTGCCTTTCCGCAGTCTCCAGAGGCCCTTCTAGCCTTGAAATCCAACAGGAGGTGCCCGTGTGCCTTTCCGCAGCCTCCAGAGGCCCTTCTAGCTCAGGAACTTCCTGGGGAGGTGCGGATTAACAGGCATTCATTGCAAGCAGAGTTTAACTCTGGCTTACCTGGATGAGGGTCTGGCGGTTTCCAGAGACTCTCTCTCCATCCCTGGCTGAGACTTGGATGGACTAGGGAAGACAGCAGGGATGGAGGAAAAGAGACGGGTTGTGGGATAGAGAGAAATAAAGTGCATCAGGGAGCCCCAAGTCAAAACGTGGCTGTGTCCCTCCCACCCGCAATGACATTTCCCTCTTTCTGCCCTTTCTCATGACTTCAAATCCTGGTGTCCCATTATAAACTTTTCTGCATGTCCTGGAGCTTCCTGGGGACATTATGGCTTGTTGCAGGTATGTCCGTCCAGGGGGAGGATTTGTACCTAACTTCCAGCTTTTTGAGAAAGGAGATGTGAATGGTGAAAAAGAACAGAAAGTCTTCAGCTTCTTGAAGGTGAATGAATTCTGGCATAAGCCTCCCCCTCTCTTCCAATATTCCTAGCATAGAGTGGGTGGGGCAGGAATGGATCCAAGGGCTCACGCCTGGAGGTGGGAGAGGTCTTTTTGGAGGAAATCTCCAGGTCAGCATTCCACATTCCACATGCTCATCTGGAGATTGATCTGTGAGTTATCTGGGGCTCTAACTTTGTGTGGTGAAGAGTTGTGTGGAGTGGCAGCTTTCTTTTGCCCATTGACATTGGTTCATTCATTCTAGGAACATTGAATGAGTGCCTGCTCTTTATAAAGCCGTCTAAGTAATAAGGATATAAAGATGAATACGGCCCTGTCTCTACCCTTGGGGAGGTTATACTGGAGAGAGTTAGAAACCATCAGGTACATAGCTGGGTGTAGTGGTTCATGCCCGTAATCCCGGCACGTAAGAAGGCTGAGGCAGGACAGGCGAATTGCTTGAGGCCAGGAGTTCGAGACCAGCCTGAGCAAAATAGTGAGATCCTGTCTCTAAAAAAGAAATAAAACAATTAGTTGGGTGTGGTGGCAGATACCTGTAGTCTCAGCTACTCGGGAGGTTGAGGCCAGAGAATTGCTTGAGTCCAGGAGCTGGAGGCTGCAGTGACCTCTGATTGTGCCACTGCATTCCACGCTGGGCAACCAAGCGAGACGCTGTCTCAAAACAAAACAAATTAACAAATCAACAGATATGATACAGTATAGTAGGTACCTTTTATGAAACACTGATTTTTAGAATAGAGAATGCCAGAGCTGAAAAACCCTACAGATTACCAAAGTGAATTGTTCCTCACTGCTGGACTGTGAACCAAGACTAGTCCACGTTAAGACTTTATATATCCTTGGTAAATTGAAGACAGTAGAACAGTGTATCGTGCCACTGCCCCCCAGCCTGGGTGACAGAGCGAGAGTCTCTCTCAAGAAAAAAGCAACAGTGTAAGAAGTTATTTTATAAACTCAACTCATCTAACTTATAGGGCTTCCCATTATTACACAATTATGACCCACATGCGCTTTATTCTTCCAATGGTCTTTTTAAATTAAGTGACAAAATGATGGTGTTTAAAATTTTTTTGTTATTTGACAAAATATTAGTAATTCAGTGTTGGACCCTAAAGATAATTATTGAAATGTACTGGCCCATGGAGCCCTCAGACCCAGAACACAGCATTCAAATCCAAGCTATTTACTTGGAAGAAAAAGCCAAAAGCATATAACATGTGTTATTCATGGCAGCAGTTTTGTGATGGGGTTGTGGGGAGAAGCCAGAAGAGAGCAGACTTTGCTGTAATATCTGTAATGTTCTTGGTGGCTGGCATAGTGGTGATTCGAGACTCTATGGAGTTTGTTAGAAATAACCGGAAGTTAAAATGTCTGGGTACAGGAAGGAGTGGATCACCTGTGGGTGAAAGCAGTCTGGATCATCCAGGAGCGCAAATAACGTTTCTCTTTTCCATCTCTCTGCCTTAGCACGCCTGTCCACATCCCTCTGAGATTTTGGGCACATTCAAATCTATCTCCTGGGACCCTGTCAAAGTCCATGACGTCCGTTGGAACTTTGAAAAGTTCCTGGTGGGGCCCGATGGAATCCCTGTCATGCGCTGGTCCCACCAGGCCACAGTCAGCATAGTCAAGGCAGACATCGTGGCCAACTTGAAGCAATTCAAAACCCAGTAGGAAGGTGGGGTTAAGGGCAGGAGCCATCCTGCTTCTCACCTAATGACTTGCTCCCTCTGCCCACCCAAAAAAGGAACATCCATCTTCTCACCACACTCTCTTCCTACATGGGCTCCCCATGAGTAAATCACCTCCACATACTGCCAGAGTTCCACGCTCCACCAACTAGATTTATATTTGGATGCTACTGCTCATTTGCCTCTCAAGAGTGTGTGAGTGAGGATGGAAGAAAACGGAGACCTCAAATCCCCAGACCTCTGTTACAGGTTGGATTACTCATACCCACCAGAGGGAAGTCATCCTTCCTCAGCAGTGGTTAAGTCGGCCGTCACATCCTGAAGAGCGTTCCTAGACACCCTGACTCTTCCGGTTCCCTCCACCCTGAGGTGTAGAAATAGCAATGCGGTCATAGTCACACAATTTAGGTTCTACTTCATGACACTTTTTGTCCCCTAGGACAAACATGTATCATCAGTTTCCAATTGTTTTGTCTCCGTTTTCATCCATGACACCCCTCCCCCCACCAGCCGTTCTCCTATGGGAGCAAGAACATTGCTTCACAAGAATAGAGGGCCTCTCCATGCTGGTGGGACCCCGAACCTCCCTGTTTGGCCCTAGAAGAGTCTTCCTTATTGTCTGGTCTTTAGTGCATTCAGGTTCTGGCACCTGGGCAGGAACTTTATCTTCTGGAGGATGGGCTTTCCCATCTCAACCCTGGATTCCTCAGCTTCAGAATGAGCCCCGCCACTGCCTCCAATGAAATGTTTTCTGTAGCGTCAAAGCTCTCTATGGGGGTTTTTAAATCCTACCTGGTGCTTGAACTCGTTTTATCTCCCTCCTCCTTCTTACTCTGTCACAAATGATGTATTGCCCAGAAGATCTGAGCCCCCCAGATGGAAAGATTCACATTTGGAAGGTTGTCACCCGATGGCTCTCAGTTGTCAGTCCTCTTCAGGAATTGCCTCAACCCAAGTTTGTCCTTTTTCCAGGGCAGCCTGTATCCAATCACTGGCCCCTAAGAGGCATAAAGGCCAAACCCTAACTGTTCAGCTTAGAACGACTTTGAAGGGCCGTCGTAGCTCTAGACATGCACGAGGACTAGGCCAGTAGCATTTGTGCTTGCACTGCACCCCGATTTTTCCCTCTGACAAATCCTGCTTCTCTTCTTTGCCACCCCCAAACCCTCCGCGTGGACCCTCAGTTAATGCCCTAGTAAAGTTCCTGAATGCAAATATCCATCTTAGAGTCTACTTTCTAGGGAATCCAACGAGTAATTGTTGGTACCAAATGTGATCTGAGAAAGAAGATGCTAAGAAGAGCTATTGAAGCTGGTTTATTCACCATCTGGTTGATGATGAGGAGATGGCTGAAGCACACATGACCACTGGCACAAGGAGCAGTGCCGTTGTCAGAACTTTTGCCAAACTTGAACTGGTGTGGTAAACCGGAGGAAGGGTGAGCACCAGCAGGCACGAACTATTAGGTGCTTGAGAAACATGAGGGGAACAGATATTATAACGTCATGCAATTGGATAGCCGTTGCCAGAGGAAATCGACGCTCTGGAGAGAGACAGTTAAAGACTGAGGATGATACATTATTAAATTAAGGCTAAGCGTGAAAGTGTGCCTCCGTAGGATGTATAAAGGACCTCTCCTATCTGCAACTTCAGAGCAGAAAAATCTAAACCCCAGGGCCAAGACTTAATCACAGGAATAGTATTGAAAACTCTGAAGAAGTTAACTTCCAGCTGGGCACAGGGGTTCTTGCCTTTAATCCCAGCACTTTGGGAGGCAGAGGCGGGAGCATCACTTGGGTCTAGGAGTTCAAGATCAGCCTGGGCAACATACGGAAAGCCCATCTCTCCAAATTAAAAGACCTAGCCAGGCATAGTGGCACACACCTGTGGTCGCAGCTGCTAGGGAGGTGAGGGAGGAGGATCACTTGGGCCTGGAAGTCACGGCTGCTGCAGTGAGCTGAGATTTCACCACTGCACTCCATCCTCAGTAACAGAGAGACATTGTCCTAAAAAAAAATTCCCAACCTAAATCGTTTTCTATGTCAAAGTCATGGCCTTTATTGAAAAAGAATAGAACTATGAGATATTGGATGGAGACTTCTGTTTGATGTATTATTACAATATCCAAATCCCCAAATTTTCCAGGAACCCGAAAACCTTTAGAAGTGGCCCACCCCTTCTTACTGAGGGTTAGCATATCCTTCTTGCTTGAGAACAATGCAGATGACTGCCCTGCCAAATATTATGTGCCTCAGCTCCCACTCACCGTCTGCTTCATATCAAACTAGATTCTCAGAGTTCCTGAAGAAGGGGAGGGCAACCTGAAGTTAGATAAGGAGACTTCATTGATTCGGGAGCGCTCTCCCTGAATACAGAATTTACACTTTGTCAAGAACCGACACACTGTTCAGATGGCTCCCACTTGGGGAAAAAAAGAAAAATGTCTCTCACTCAATGTAGTAGAAGCACTACAACTGTTTCAGCAGGTGGTAGAAATAGGGGATCAAGCTGGGCACGGTGGCTCATGCCTGTAATCCCAGCACTTTGGGAGGCCGATGTGAGTGGATCGTCTGAGGTCAGGAGTTCGAGACCAGCCTGGCCAAAATGGTGAAACCCCACCTCTACTAAAAATACGAAAGAGCCTGGCGTTGAGGCAGGCGCCTGTAATCCCAGCTCCTTGGGAGGCTGAGGCAGGAGAATCGCTTGAACCTCGGAGGCGGAGGTTGCAGTGAGCCAAGATTGTGCCATTGCACTCCAGCCTGGGCCACGATAGTGAAACTCATCTAAAAAAAAAAATAGGGGATCAAAGTTCATAAAAGTGGGCAGGTTCAAGTGGTTTCCATGCAGTGCTGGGAACTCTGCTAGATAACTGTATATCACAGGAAGGCCAAAGGACATTCAGTCTGAAAAATAAAAAAGGAATGTGCTGGTGAGAGGGGCTATTTGTTATGTAGTTCAATAACTTTAACAAAAATTTAAAAAATATTTAATCTGTCTTTGTTAAATCTTCATAGAAAAAGGCTGACATTTAATGCAACAAAGGTAAACAATGGATTTCTCAAGTTATGAGACTTTGGCAAATTTTCCAATAATATTACTATTTTTCTGCATTTACTTAGCCTGCGTTGCATCTACCTATTGCAAACAGTGATTTTTGTAAAGGAAATACTCGCTCTCTGAGTGTTTCCGAGTAGCAAAGTAGTTTAACATTATTAGATTTAGAATCAGCGAGTGTCTGGATGGGGGGAGAGGTTGGCATTTCACTTAAAGCCGCAAACGTGTAGCCGAACGCAGAGTGGAGAGACAGGAGGTGGAACAGCGGGGTGTGAAGCCCGCGGGATTCCGAAACGGTGGATGGAAAACGCACGGGTTTTGTGCAGGCGGAAGACGCGCTTCTTGGTGGGGACTTCGCCCGGAAAGCGGTGACTGACACGTCTATTTTACGTGCAGCCATCTCAGCCTCCTGCTTTTGGTGAAACGATGTGACTTTCTTTCGTTCAAATGCTTTTAAATGATTGTCTGATTTGAGAGAACCCGTGGGAGAATCTGAGCCGAAAACCAAGGTACCGGTGACGGCAACCGCGAGTCCCCGGGCATCTCTGAGATGGGAGGAAAAGGGCTCTGGGTCAGCTAATTCCGGGGTTCCCTTCATTTTTGCTTTCAATCCTATCCGTGGAAGTCCCGTATTAGAAGGTGCCTAAAGTTCATATGATTCAATACCTTTAAAAAAAAAAAGTTTGAAAAGAGGTCATGTTTAATCTGTGTGAGCATCTTATATCTTCCCAAATCCCCGTCGCCTCCACGGCTCCAGTGGCGCAATCGGTTAGCGCGCGGTACTTATAAGACAGTGCACCTGTGAGCGATGCCGAGGTTGTGAGTTCAAGCCTCACCTGGAGCAGTTTTACTATTCTCCTACCTGTAGAAATTCAAAAATGGGGAGAGCTTACCGAGTTTCAGATCCCTTTCAGCGACCTACGTACCGTTCTCATTTAGACTGTACTCGGAACCATCACGTGATCTGACTTACAATTCCCAGCGTAAGGCAATGATGACAGATGTATTCTTACGGTCCGTTTAGATGTCTGCCTTTGTCCAATACCTCGGCAACAGTCGCCAAAACAGCTCTTGACAGTATTCATTTCAATAAGAAACTGACCGGGTGTGTGTCTCACGCCTGTAATCAGTTCTTTGAGAGGCCAAGGCGAGCTGGTCTCTTGAGTCCAGGAGTTCAAGACGAGGCGTGGGCAACGTGATGAAACCCCGTTTCTACAAAACATTACAATTAAGCTAGGCGTGGTGGTGCGCACCTGTAGTTCCTGGGTGACAGAGGGAGACCCTGTCTCAAAGAAACCCGACCTTCAGAGTCTCAGGCCCAGATAGATGAGGAATATATAAAAAAATTAATGACAAGTACTCCTCTGTGACTTTTCAACTCTGTGAAATAAGGACGATCTTGGGTTTTTTAAATCATTGAGGTGGTTTAGAGATGCCTGACAGTCACACTTGGTAGCTTGTTTCCAGGTAGCCTAATATTTTTTCAAGAAAATTCTATAACAGACAGTTCTTACATGTTGCATACTTGTCATGGTGGTTAGAAGCTGGATGTACAGCCCTCTTTTCCAGATACTACTCCTGAGTACCTTCCCACCACCTGGTATCTTCCCAGACAGATACCAGGATCAGGCCAAACTCCCCCTCCCTTTGGATTTTAAACTAAATCTGAACAGAAAGAAGCATCTGTGTGTTTTCTTTAGAAATGTTTCATTTAAGGCCGGGCGCGGTGGCTCACGCCTGTAATCCCAACACTTTGGGAGGCCAAGGCGGGTGGATCACGAGGTCAAGAGATCGAGACCATCCTGGTCAACATGGTGAAACCCCGTCTCTACTAAAATACAAAAAATTAGCTGGGCATGGTGGCACGTGCCTGTAATCCCAGCTACTCAGGAGGCTGAGGCAGGAGAATTGCCGGAACCCAGGAGGCGGAGGTTGCGGTGAGCCGAGATCGCGCCATTGCACTCCAGCCTGGGTAACAAGAGCGAAACTCCGTCTCAAAAAAAAAAAAAAAGTTTCATTTAATAGAAAAAAGAGTTGAAAATGACAACTGAACAATGTCATAAATTATGACAGAAAGAGTTTCTTGTGTAATTTCTTAGTCAAACTATCAATCAAAAGTGAGTATGTTATAAAGTCATTTACAGACAGAGTCCCGCTCTCATAAAATTCCTAGAGGCTTTTCTCCATCAAAATGATACAACACCGATAAAAGAAAAACACAGGGATCCAAAACAGGAAGAAGGCAAAGTATATCCCAGGTGGGTGGAAGAATAGCCCCAGAAAGACACCTGTGTAACACGCCTAGAGAATAGCCCATCCAGACTGAAGCAGGGGGACGAAGGCTCCAGAGAGGAGACCACTAAGAAAAATATTAAAAATGATAGGTTCTTTGAGGTATTTCTCCCTACTGAGAGTTGCCTAAATTCCAGGAAAATAAATTGAGAATGAATTGGTTACATGGTCGTAAAAGATAAAGTAAAAGGCAGTTAATAACTGTGTGGAAAACTAAAAGGCGCATAAGATAAGAAATATATTCATAGTACTATATGATACAGCTGTGAATAGTTTTTATAACCAATAAACCCTGAAGTTTCAGGTATCTCCAGAGACTGACTTTCAATATGGAATGAAGAGAGCCTGGAGACCTACTCTCAAGTGAAACTGGTGAAAATTCTTTTTTTTTTTTTCTTCAAAGCAACCATTTAAAAGTGTCTGGCAAAGTGCGCAGCACTGTGGCTCATGCCTGTAATTTCAGCACTTTGGGAGGCCAAGGCAGGTGGATCACCTGAGGTCAGGAGTTTGAGACCAGCCTGGCCAACATGGCAAAACCCCATCTGTACTAAAAATACAAAAATTAGCTGGGTATGGTGGCAGGTGCCTGTAGTCACAGCTACTTGGGAAGCTGAGGCAAGAGAATCACTTGAACCCAGGAGGCAGAGGTTGCAGTGAACCACTTGCACCACTGGACTCCAGCCTGGATAACAGAGCAAGACTCCACATAAAATAAATAAATTTTAAAAAGTCTCTGGAAAAGGTCCTCAGGGCTTACAGCAAATGAAGAAATATCTATTCAAGAAAATCTACTGAAATTAGTCTGCAGCATTTGAACTAGTGTTATGGTCTGATTGTGCCCCCTCAAAATTTGTATGTTAAACCTGAGTCACCAGTATGACAGTGTTGAGGTCTTCAGGTGATGACTAAATCAGGAAGGCTGAGCCCTGACGGATAGGATTAGTGACCTTATAAAAGAGGAGTGAGGGAGCTCTTTACCCCTTCCACCCTTCTGCCATGTGAGGATGCAGCAAAAGGCCATCTTTGAAGCAGAGAACAAGCTCTCAGTCACTAAATCTGCTGGCAACTTAATCTTAGATTTCCCAGCCATCTGAACTATAAGAAATAAATTTATGTTGTTTATAAACTTCCCGGTCTACAGTATTTTTGTTCTAGTAGCCCAAACAGACTAAGACAGAGAGGATTGCCTCCTCCCTCTCCCTCCCAGTTCATTGAAATGAAAACTCCACAGCAGACCAATGCAATGAACACAGGGCTCCCTCGCTCCCCGGCTCTCAGTCTGAGCGTTGCTATCCTGGGAGGGCCAGGGCATCAGCATTTTTCATCCTCCCTCCAGCTACGGATTGCGGAGTTTCCAGTGATTGCATCTTAGAAGGGGCGGCATCCCAATCCTCTCTTACGGGTTGGATGGAGGCTCTATCTTGGGTATGTTGCCATTGTAAATATTAGGGCCCCAACCTCCCTTCTCCCAGCTGGTAAGGGCAGTGGTTCCATGCTGGCAGTGCAGTTTTAAGCTAAGAAGACCTGAAGACCTCATTCCACCAACCTACTAAAGCAGAGGTATTATGCAGAGAAAAGCGTGGATGTTCCCACCTTCAGCTTCAGAGCACAAGCTCAGAGATTTTGCCTCATGGGAGAAGGCCATAAAACATAATTCCTAATCTCTTTGGGAAGAGACTTTTTTGTTCCCCGAGATGGAGTCTTGCTCCCGTTGCCCAGGCTACAGTGCAGTGGTTCGATCTCAGCTCATTGCAACCTCTGCTTCCCGGGTTCAATCGATTCTCCTGTCAAAGCCTCCCGAGTAGCTGGGATTACAGGTGCCTGGCTAATTTTTTGTATTTTAGTAGAGATGGGGTTTCTCTATGTTGGTCAGGCTGGTCTTGAACTCCCGACATCAGATGAGCTGCCCGCCTCAGCCTCCCAAAGTGCTGGGATTACAGGCGTTAGCCACCGCGCCTGACCTCGAGTGTGTTTTTAAATGCTTCTGAACATTCTTTCACACCACATTTTTGGGGGTGTGTCTATGTTCATTATTGTACTGGTCAATTCGTGATTACAATATTGTATGTAAAACTTACACAGAGTTTAAACTCGTGCAGTTTCTTTCACGGCAATTATGCCTCAATACGACTGTTTAGAGTACATTGTCTGGAAAAATATCATTATGGCATTCTGCAAGCGTAGTTGTGAGTCTTTTCCCTCTCTTTTCTGTACTGTGGAAGAGATCACGTCTGATTGGATTTATTTCTTCCTTTTGTTTTGAGACGGAGTTCTGCTCTGTCGCCAGGGTGGAGTGCAGTGGCGGGATCTCGGCTCACTGCAACCTCCACTTCGCGGGTTCAAATGATTCTCCTGCCTCAGCCTCCCAAGTCGCTGGGATTACAGGTGTGCGCCACCACCCCCGGCTAATTTTTTGTATTTTTAGTAGAGACGGGGTTTCATCATGTTGGCCAGGCCAGTCTCGACCTCCTAGCTCATAATCCCTTGATAAGTGATGGGACGTGGGGTTCTCAGTAGGAAGATGTTTAACAACTAGTTCGATTTATTTCGTAGTTTGACTATTCATTATCGCTATTCTTTCTTGAATCTTAATGAGTTATGTTGTCCTAATATTTTTTCCATTTCGTATAAATATTCAAATGTATGTGGCCAGATTCTTTATCCTTTTGTTGTGTTTTTGACGTTTACTGGTTTAATTTTTTTGTTCTATCTTTTATATCTTCCTGCCCGGACGATTGTTTTGACTTTTACTGGTTCATTACAAAGGGTCCTCGCCTCTTGGAGAGGCCGCTCTCTCCTCTTCAAGATCTCATCCTGGCTCGCCTCTTCTCCTGTTTCAGGTCTTGTTCGCACCTTGGTTCCTGAGATATTTTGGACAGTCTAACTCGCCCCGCCACGCGAGGGACAACCCGGGAGCCGGCCTGGACAGAGAAAGAAAGCGTCCGGCCGCCGACCACACCCACCTCAATCCCGAGCGGGTTTTATGGCGAGTGTTCCTTCGGCGCCTCTAACGTGGGAAGTTTTCCTTTAGAAAGGGGGCGATAAACTGACCTCAAAAAGACAAGGCTCTCAAGATACACTTTTTTTGTGCGTCTGCGAGTCAAACTTGTCACCAAGCGCCCAATGAGGACCAGGTGAACAGAACTTCTTAACCTGCACTCACCTGAGTTCAGAGCCCACCCAGCCGGCGGGCAGAGGGTCCGCCTGGCCCAGGGCGCGCGCTCTCCCCATCCCGCCCCGAGCTCCGGGCACAGGGGTGCCAGCCTGGCCAAGCGCTTCTTCCGAAATACAAACAGCTGAAAGCTGGTGCGCGGGCCCCACCTGCATCACTCGCAACTCAGAAGCCATCAGTGATGCCACTTTCCGTTTACACAAGAGAGAATTGTAGAGACTTGACGTTTGCTTCCCGACAGTGATTGGATGCTATAATTTTGGGGTGTGGAAGGTGTGCAGTGTTACTTGAGAGTTGGGAGCGGGAGAGTGAAAAAGGTACAACCAACCACGAAGGGATTCGAACCCTCAATCTTCTGATCCGAAGTCAGACGCCTTATCCATTAGGCCACGTGGTCCCACGACTCGATATTTGCAAAAAATGCAACAAATGTTGTAAGTCTTGGCTATTACCCTGGATTAGATACATTGCCTGATTCTACTTACATGACATGATTTCTGTTACTACCCTCATTTCAAAGACAGTGTAAATAATACAAAAGCCAAATAACTTTCCAGTGTCACACAATAACAGGTGGGTGCAAAGTGAGTATTTCAGTTTTCTCCAAACTCCTGTCGTTAACTTGACACCGAAAGTGACACCAAACGTTGCGCATGCGCCCCGGTGCTTCTCTCAGCCGGTAACGAAAAGCTGTAAAGAAAGGGAAAGAAAAGGATGGAATGTCCCTCTGTAATCACCGCTGCACGTGGTCAGTTTGCCTTCCGCGTTGAGACCGTCCGGAAGTCCATGAAAATCAGCAGGCGGACGAGAAAGACCCTCCGGCGACGTCTCAGCTCGGCCTCCGATTCAGCAGCCACAGCTGCGGTCATCGCTGAAACGTGCCCCGCCCTCGCCTGGCCCCGCCCTGAGCACCGTCCAGTGAGACGTTAGTTAAAAGCCCCCGATCGGCGGGCGCCGAGGGAAGAAAGAACGCAGGAAACGCCTGCGATGCGCGCAGCCACCGCGTGGGGGCGCCGCGGGGCTCGGGGCGGGAGCTGCGCGTCAGGCCGGGTAAGTCGGGGCTCAGCCCCCTCGGAGCGGTCGCGTGTTTTCATTCCAGCTCATTTCACCCTCGACTCAGGATTCTGACCTCCCACTAGTGACGTGCCGGTGGGAAAAACACGGGGAGGAAAGGCGCGCGCGAGGCCTGGCCCGGGACGAACGCGGCTGCGTGGACCCTCTCCCGTGGGTGCCGGGGCGGGGGTGGGGGTGGGGGTGAAAGCCTCGGGGCTGGAATCCCAGGGATACGGGGTCTCCTTCGCCCCGGAACGAACGCGGCTGCGTGGACCGTCTCCCGTGGGTGCCGGGGCGGGGGGAAGCCACGAGGCGGGAATCCCAGGCCTCTGGGGTCTCCTCAGTCCTGTGGGGTCTCCTCCCCCGGTCCTGGGAACTCCTGGAAAGCCGGATTTGAGTCTGCGGAACCCGCGTGTCCCCCCGTCCTGGCGTTCTGCTCTCCCAAAGGCGGCTACGCGGATTCTGCACGTTCCAGAACCGCTGGAGAAACGCTCTTCCATGCAGCAGCTGCGCCCGAGGAGCGCGCGCTCTTTGCCGTGCCCCGAGGGAAAGCAGCGCCCGGATTCCATCGCCCACCAGGTCACAGCGTCAGCCTGCAGGGGTTCAGTGAACACCTGGGAATCAAACTTACTCTGAGGCCTGAAAGATGAGAAAGAATTAGTTTTAAAAGAAAAAAGTGCAGAAAGAGGCCGAGCGTTGTGGCTCAAGCCTGTAACCCCAACACTTTGGGATGCCAAGGCGCGGGGGTTGTGGGGTGAGGATTGTATTGCTTAAGGCCGGTAGTTTGAGACCATCTTGGGCAACATAGCGAAACCTCTCTTTCTTTTCGCTTAAAAAAAACCAAATAGGTGATCCAGAAGATAGATCAGTATGTGCAATGGTATAAAGAATTTTGCCCAATTAATTTGAAAATTAAAACAGCAAATTCTGCGAAAAGTATCTATTATGGAATTCAATTCAAGACGAAATAGCAAATAACTGTTACATAAATTGAATAAATCGTCAAAAATTGTCCTACAGAGAAAGTCCT